AAGGAAACAAAAATAATATAAAAACAGGGAGGGGGACAAAACAGAAAAGACTCATAAATATGGAGAACAAACGGAGGGTTACCGGAGGGGTTGTGGGAGGGGGGATGGGCTAAATGGGTAAGGGGGACTAAGGAACGTACTCCTGAAATCATGTGGCACTATATGCTAACTAATTTGGATGCAAATTTAAAAAAATAAAAAATAAAACAAGTTTGAATAAATAAATAAATAAATAAATAAAATACTCTTGGTACATAAATTACCTTATAAACTGAATCTCAGATCAGGAATACAGAAGGTAGACAAGTGAACAAAATATTGCATCATTTAGGTTTTTAATTTTTTTATTTTAAGAAAATGAACATCCAGGAATCATTTTATTCTTGCTGTGGAAAAATTATCATGAATTATTTAGATTTAACTGCAGCGGGACAAATTGCGTTTCTGTATGGTTTAGATACGACGTAACTTTGGAAAGCTAAATAAGCTTACAGATTGCTGAAACTTTTACGTTAACTGAGTTTAATTTTCACAATACCAGCTGTTTTCATGGCTTACATAATTACTGGACAATTTTTCAAAAATCATTTAAAATGAATGAAAAACATGGGGCGCCTGGGTGGCGCAGTCGGTTAAGCGTCCGACTTCAGCCAGGTCAAGATCTCACGGTCCGTGAGTTCGAGCCCCGCGTCGGGCTCTGGGCTGGTGGCTCGGAGCCTGGAGCCTGTTTCCGATTCTGTGTCTCCCTCTCTCTCTGCCCCTCCCCCGTTCATGCTCTGTCTCTCTCTGTCCCAAAAATAAATAAAAACGTTGAAAAAAAAAAATTAAAAAAAAAAAAAAATGAATGAAAAACAAAGGTCTCCACTATCTATGAAATAAGTAAAATATCAGTTAGAACACTTACCTTGTTCAAGAAAAAGGCTAAGGGCTTAATCATTATGGTCTACTCTTATCAGATGACTTGAGAAAATGAATTCGCTTGGAATTATTTCAATTTTGCTAGCAAATATTGTACTACTTACTCACTAGCCTTAAATCTTAAACTCCTATCCCAAATCTTAATAATCCAGAGTTGAAAGCTTTCCATCCTGACACTGGATGGAGCTTCCTGAGGCCCCTGATTAAGATGAGCAACCAGTAGCAACTGCTTAGCCTTGACAGGCCCACCCATCAATCCCGTTCCAGCTGCACCTTCATTTTGATGTGCAACAATGATAACACAGACCTGGACAAAAAGATCATGAAAAAAAGAACGCTCCCCTAAGAGTTATAATCTTCCTTTGGCAGAAAACCAGGGGGGTTGTTTCTTTAACTGAGAAAGAACCCGCACAGATTCAGTTCCTCTATACAGCCTTGCTTACTGCATTTTTATTTTAATTTTAGATAAAAATGGAAACGGGACTACATGGAAAATTTACAACTAGAGAAAAGATGATGAGAAATATACATGTTTCAGTCTCTTTTCTTCCAGAACTCTTTTACAACTCTGCTTTCTTGGAAGGAATTCATGAGCTGTAATACTTGAGGAGATTCTCATCTGTAGGTTTTAGGATTTTCTTATCTGCCATATTCACCACCCATCCAGGAGCAAGACCAAAGAAAATCTGCCTTGGATCCTTTCGAGTACTAAGCATTTTGAAGAGTTCATCTTTAGTGATATCAGGTAAAATATAGCCGTACTTCTTGGCAAGTTCAAGTCTTGCTTCAGGAAATTTGGCAGGATCCGCCAGGTAACCACGATTCTTTGCATCTGTATAATACGGTACCAGTGCTTCGGGCGGAAGCATTCGTTTGGGAATGGGTTGTCCACGCAGAAAGAATGGAACAGGTTTGCACAGAATGTCTGAAAAGGTTTTAAATAAAAAAGATACAAATAGTGGCTATATGTATATGATTTTAATTATTCATGTGTTTAATGTTTATTTTTGATTTTAATTGTTAATGTGCTTAATGTTTATTTTTGAAAGACAGAGAAAGAGGGCAAGTGGGGGAGGGGCAGAAAGAGAGAGGGGAACAGAGGATCCGAAGCAGGCTCTTGTGCTGATAGCAGAGAACCCAATGCGGGGCTCGAACTCACAAACTGTGAGATCATGA